AATGAAAATGGTAGTTGGAGAGCAGACTAGCACGATATGTATATTTTATGTTGCATTTCACACTGATAAGCTATTGGAAACGGTAAGTTGTCCTCAAAGCTCACTTGCAAAAAGTCGTCAAATGAAGCATTACTAACTGGACAGCCATCAAGCAAAACTGTAGGGTCACATGCAGACTGCTTATTACTCACTCATTAGGCTTCAAAACAAGATAACAGCAGTCTCTTTGACAAACCTAGTGCAATTATCCCTGAGTTCAGCAGTTTGCGGGGTTTTTTTTGTTTTTTTTTCCATTCCCAGACAGAATTAATGAGACAAGAATAGCAAACAAAGACCGGGAACTGACTTCTGCACCTGTCTTTCATAAACATATTTACACTTACAGCATCGACGAGGCAGCAAACTTACAATTAGGGTCACCGCTTTCCTACTATATGTTAATGCTATGACACCTTTGCTTCACTCAAAGTCACTTCACCTAAGTTGCCCTGACACACACTTCTGAGAGGTTTTCACAGGTCTGGAATGCTCATTAGCAAAATGTGACAAAACACAGCAAAAAGTGCCTAAATCACAGGCCCACTTCTTGTTCAAAATGAGGCTTGAGTTAGAATCTGGGATTATGTGCTATGGAGATAAAATGAAAAAACAAATCTGCCAGATGGACCAGTCTCATAAAATACTGTTTCATCACAAATAATAACAAGCTGAACAGATTTGGGTGGCTGCTGGATTTACTCATAGACACGAGGGAGAGAAAATGTCTTAAAATAAAAGTAGAAATGCTTGACTTTGCCTGCAGTAGTCTGCACAGAGCAATGCATATAGTTTTTGTGCTTGTATATACTTTTGTAAAAGATGTATCTTCAGCATCCAGGAGTGCATAGAGGTTAAGTTAATGAGAGATAGGACCCAACTTCTAAGGTGTCTACTATTCTTATATGTGGATTATCATCTCAGAGTAAAGTCAGGAGAATAGCTGAAGTGTTCTCTGATTTATTACCAAGTTCAACAGCTGTGGAGGTGGCCAAAACTCCTGACTTAAAAATTTGGATGCAGTCATACTTAGGTACATCTGGCATTTTTACTGAAGCATCTTAGCAAAAAGGACCGGCACACTTTCAGTGCCTGCAGTCCTGTCAGACATGGAAGCAAAGCACTTGCACTGCACTGACTGTTTTGACTGCCTGTGAATGAAATTAACAAGTTAACAGCTTGCTGATTTCTACCTCACCAGGATCTCTGTTACTTGGGTAGCGAGCACCCACCACCTGCCAGTTGGAACACACCACAAAGTTAAAAAAAAGAAAAAAAAATCCTATTTTTGCATCAGGCAACCCAGAAACCAATCCAGAAAAGTGGTGCGAGTCTGAGGAGAGCAGTAAGCTATGATTGATTCAATTAACATCTCCAGTGACCTTCACTCATTCAGAACTCACGGCGACACAAACTAATCAAATCTTGGGACGGAGCATGCCTCTAGTCCACACTATCACACCAACAACCTGCAATTCATCCTTCCCAGCACATCTCATCAGAGGACAGCCTGCGTCAGCACAATCTGCTCCTTGATGCTCACACTGTGTAACCCGACGGTAACAGCCAAGCCACACAGCCAGCATGTGAATAAGCCAGATCCTTTGGCACAAGGTTTTTTTTTTCCGCTTTCTAGCAAAACAGCCACAGAAATTGATCAATAAACGTGTCTATATTTCACACAAGTGTGTGTTTAGAGCCACTGCTTGAATATAAAAAAAAAGGATCTCCGAACTTGTGATATTTAATACAAAAATGATGACAAAGCAATAATAACCTACTGTAAAACATAAGAACAGCTGTCACTGGGCTAATTGTACTGGAGAGCTTTGAGAGGCTTTTACTGGCAACCTCACACAAAGCCTCAAAATGCCTCAAGGACCGTCCAAGACAGTTATCACATAAAGCTATCAACAAAGCTCTATGTCAAAACATGAGTCACAATGAAATTAACAGGCATGGTTTTACGCAACCTCGTAACGTAAAGCATAAAAACACCTTAAAGATGTCTTGATCGCTGATCTTGTGCCCTAAGTTGACCAAATATTTTTCCAGCATGTGCCACCATCTTTAAAACACTCGCAGTTCTGACGACATGACTCAAATTCTAAAAGCTCTTGCTAAGTTAAAACAACAAAAGAAGCAAAGTCGTTCCCAAGAAACAGGACGGGGTAAATGTTTACTTACTAAAAGAGGACACAGAAGGAAGATGGTGAAAGTGTCGGTCAAATGTTGGTCACATTGCTCCGTGTTACTAGATTTTCATTACTGTTTTAAAAAAGAGGGAATTGCTATTGAAGGTCAACAGAAGGGAGAATCAGTATGCTGAAGCCGTTTCTCTGTGTATTTTACTTGCTTCGCTTCAGTTTAGGACAAGCTCAGTTGAATCAGCCATCCGCATATTTTTGTTTACTCTGACCCTGCTGAAGCGCCAGTATGCCAGTATATGAGATAAAAGGCAACGATATCATTTAAAATGCTTTTACTTTTTCACAGTTTTGACTAAAATTCAACCTACGGCTTAAACCAAATGGGTTTTTTCTCACAAAAATGCAGATGGCCTGCTTTGTGGGGGGGCAGGATGATTAGTTTGTGAGTTGTTTTACAGGCAACATTACCATGTCATTGGACTGTGCCAAAATCACAGTGATCATCTAATGAATGTCTTCCTCAAGTCTGTTTTGCACCGAGAAGCTGAGATAAAATACTGGAATATAAAATTACTGCCTTTCAGTCCGACTGCCTGGCAGCCTGCCACATGAAGCTCCTCAAATTCATGAGGAAGTCAAAGGAGAGAGGATTCGATGAGAATAATAGGGTATAATATCCTATTTTCATATGGCGCGTATGCTATATCCTCAGTCATTCAGAAGCCTTCTTGTACTTTGGCAGAGATGTTCACATACTACGCATCTATACGTGCCGTGCAACGTAATTGCAAGAGAACATGCAAAATAACAACATATTTCCCCCCTCATACCCTTGGATTTGGAGGACAGATGATGAATCAGACCCCAATGAATGACAGCACTTGTGATCTCTTTTGATTAGCTGCATACATCAGGCTACTGGGGGAAGAGAGCAAAATGTGAAATTTACTGTATTTCAAAGACTATGGCCGACTGCTCACGTAATTCATGCAGAACCTGGGCTTCACACGGAGAGGGTCACGAACTGAACAAAGTGTTTTAGTGGACACAGAGGATATATGACATTCTCCCCTGCCCACACAGCCACAAGAAATTAGCATACCTGAGATATGATGTAGGAATAAAAAAATGTCAAAAAAAATCACTGGAAGGAGACTTTGAATGAGAAGCCATTTACGTTTCCTTTAGCGGAGTGGACTGGCATGTAGTATTTCGGAAATATTCTCCCGCATCTATTTAGGGACAAGTGTCATCCTGAAATGTGAGGAGCCGTATAAACCCAAACAGCGAGGATAACTGTCAGAAAAAGAGAACGCATTATACTTTGGCTCAACTCTTCCAAGCAGACTCAGCTTTGAGCAGGGTAAGTCTGAATTAGGGCTGCCACAAACGATTATTTTGATAGTCGACTAGTCACCGATTATTTATGCGATTAGTCGACTAATCAGATCATCATCCACTGGACGTAAAACTACAGCTTATTGCACCAGCAGCATCTACTCTTATATAACTATCATTAGCTTACAGCTTTAAGCTTTTAAGGTGCTAACTAAAAATAAAGACAAGATGATAGTTTATTCAATTCAATTTTAATGAAATTATATGTGCAATATGTTTGCTTGGGCGTTTTTTTTAAATGTGAATTATTTGACCATCTGCCGTTTGACCATCAGTATTGTCTCGGTGGAGTTTAATAAACTCCTTGCTATCGAAAATATAACAGGACACCGGAGTAAATTCTCCAGCATCTCACACTTCTGATGATCAGCTGTCTGCTGTGTAAAAACTATAACTTTAATCTCAGACAAACCGATTTACTCAGGAACAACTAAAATACTGAAAAAAAAAAAGCCAAACAACAACATTTTTAATTTATCTAAGTGACTCATATATATTTAACCTGAGTAGCGAAAGACGGCGGTGGGTTTGAAAACAATTTGCCGGGAGTCCGGTGTTCTCACAGCGCTAGTGACCTAGCCCCCGGCTAGCTATCGAGCTAGTGGGTAACAGATGTCTCCGAAAACGTCGGAGCGCTTTTGAAAATATGTGGTGTCCTGATAAACTGAGCCGATATTTGAGGTTTACACAGCTACATTCTCGCCTGAAAATATGTTAAACGTTTATTTTGTGACCCAGAAAGAATAATAAGAGTAATATTAAAACTAACTAGCTACCGCCATTGTTGGAAACTAAGCTGGGCCGCGCTATGAATTCTGGGACAAAGTTGCTTCTTCTTCTTCGGCATCCTTGTACATGCAGTGCTGCCATCTTCTGTTTCAGTCCGTTATTACACTCTTAAATCCTGCTACTTATTCCTGGGTCTTTTGGGATCTTACAAAGCTTCAAACGACGCGTCGACTATTAAATCAGTCGTCGACGATTTTGATAGTCGACGTAATCGTGACTAGTCGACAAATCGTGGCAGCCCTAGTCTGAATAAATACAAACAGCTTGCAAGAGGAAAGCAAGCACACTGTGTCCATGTCTGCCTGTTATTTGCACAATGTAGCTGTGTAATCATTAACTTTTGGGATAGGCCACACAAAAAGGGAGTAAAGGTTCCAAATTTACAACCTCTTTATATTGACACATCCACCACAAGGCGTGTTTTCAGGAGCTGCAGACTATTGAGAGGAGCGTTTCATTCCTCTGAGGTGACTTAAGTGGAAATAAATTAATTTATGCTTGTAATCGAGGTACCACGGTGGCGCGCAACGGGGAAGTGTTTTGAATTTAGATGACATGTTTGTATGCAGAGGTCCTAAGGTTGCGATGGGTGTGCGTGTCATGCGGTAAAATAGGCAGGAAACTCACTTGATAAAGCACCGTGCTCCCTCAAACGTATATCCCTCCTCCCATCCGGTGGGTAAGTCTGTGAAAGAAGGAAAGGTGGACAAATATGTGAACAATCATGCAGCCATCAGCCACATTAAAAATCACTGAGAGGTGAAGCAAATAACATTGATCATGTCATTACGATGCTATGTTCTGTTGGGGTTCTGTTGGGCCTCTTGGGTCCTGACATTCATAAAGATGCAGACCGAGCACACACCACCATGAAAAAGACATTTCCTGATGGGACGACTTGTGCTGCCAGACTGCAAATACTTCTCGTGAATGGTCTTTAACCTCTTAAGACCCGAACTCTTCCAAAGCATGCATTTTTAATTTCTCTTTGATATTTGGGCATATTGGCACTCGATGAATGTAAAAAACAAAGAATTACCAGATTTTTTTTAACCTTATTTTTGTTTCTAAGAAAAATGAGAGCCACATATGAGGATATTCGTTTAAAATTTCGATAGAACAGTGGCAGTATAATGTCCTCCTAAGTGGATATCAGGCCCTTGCAGAGTAAAATTGAGTATTTTGGTCTAAATAACACAAAATGTGATGTCCACATATGTAGATGCCAGGTCCTAGGAGGTTAAAGCTCCATGAGTGAGCACCAGAACAAGTCTAGTCCATGAAGCCCCGCTCAGCAATCCACCTGCAGCCAGTGTAGTAGAAGCTGATGCTACACAACACCTCCAGCATGCATGTATGTATGAGTGTTTGTCCCAGAAAGTTAAAGGTGTTTTGGCCAGACATGAAAGACCCACTTACCCAAAACTAGGCAACCACCTTGAAAATTTAGAGTTTCTCGAATTTTCAAGCAAATTTCGAAAGTTCCAGTTCGTTAAAAAGGAGAAATGTTTAAAAATTTGAAAAATATGTTTTGAAAAAAAGCAATAGGAGGCAAAGAATAAATAAATAAAACTGCTATGAAATTAGAATATGAAAATTGGCAGCTCTCCTCCTAACACCCTCCCATCAGACAAATGCAGGCATCTGCTCGTGCTTCACAAAAGCTAAAACTCACTCAAAGCTGAGCTTCACATGGGATTCAAAAACTGCTCTGCTTTGTAAAAGTCCTCTACTTAACCCATCGCACTACTGCATATTTTCTGCACAAACTTTACTTTTTGCCCAAGTACTTCATTACAAGCTAGATTTTCTAGTGCCCTGAACGAGAGCCCAGAAAAAGTGCGAGTTTACTCCCCTCTTCATTCACATGAATTAGTGAGTGACACCAAAAATATGCTGCCTCTGCCAGCTTTATGCATCACCTTTAGGGTTGGAACTAATTATTCCGCCTGTGCTCAATTTGTCACTTAGTTTCTTGATAAATCAGTTCAGTCATCTGGTCAATAAACTGACTGAGAATACATTCAAATTTTGTGGTTTTGCCCCCGGAAACCACAAAAAAATATCTCATTTACTATTACACAACGCTAATAAAAGCATATCATTGCAACTGAAAAGAACAGAGCTATATCATGATATTAGTAATTATTTTTTTTAGAATAGCTGCCTGCCTTCTGGGCTTCAGCTCTGTGGTGAAATACTGATGGACATTTTTCAATTTTTGATACTAATAGAATACAATTTTTTAAAGAAAAGAAAATGTATGAACTCACACATTATTAAAAAAAAAAAACAACTCATTGGTTGCAGCCATATTCAGATGAAGCAGACACTCTTAACAGGAGAGGGGGTGCTTGAAGTTAAAGAAGAGCTTGCTGCTGCTGTATATAGTTGCATCATAATCTCACCAGAAAAGCGCACTGAGCAGCTAATTGTACCATGTCTCTAAGATAAGTCAAGCTTTTTGTAGGAATATATATATATATATATATATATATATATATATATATATATACACACACATACATATATATATATGTATAAGCTCACTGCAAAAAAAATTAATGATGAAATTCAGCAGAGCTATACTTCAATCTGCTACAGTTTTCCTGCTTACCTGTCACACAGGAGCTTACTGTTAAGTAGGGTCCTGTGTCAAAACACTTAAATGCACTAATCTTACTCCCCTGCACGGTCAACATAATGCGTTGGGTTATTCAAAGCCAAAACAAAAACAAAAAAACGACTTCCTACATTTGTTTACGTGCTTTAGTTGCTATTAGGCTAAAGGTCACCTCTTCACTAGTTCTCGGGCGATATTGGCTAGTGTCCACTCTTCAACTCCACTGACTGACCACCCTGGGGAGAGGCAGCAGCGAAGGAAGTGGCACTAGCTGGGCAGAGGTGGGCACGAGAGGGCTCAATTTTCACAGCACGAGCGACAAAAACCCACTCGTGTGTTAAGAAACACGGCGTGGATATCACAGCCTCTCTCTCTCACACACACGCACAGCGTGGGAAGTGTTCGCTTTTGGGTAACACAACAACAACACACTGCCGGGGCGAACACGAAAGGCGTTCAAGATAAGAGAAAAACTTGACAGTGACATCTTTACCTGGAGTTTTCCTGTGCCCGGTTATAACTGCCTCACCACTTACTGGATGCAGCCAGGTTGTACTCTTGGCTTCTTCGCTGTTGAGAAGGAGAGACAGAGAGAAAGAGCGAGATATGCGTTCAAATCCAGCGGTGACTTTGTTCGAAATAGAAACGAGCAGAATGACTTGAAAAGCGTTTGCCTTTGGAAGGGATATTTACTTAACGAAGAAGACACGTCCATCCCGAGTAACACCATAACTCCAGGAAGACGGGAGACAAGAAATCCACTCGGGTTGTAGCTCCGCCGCCATGTCTGGCAGTACTGTATGACAATCGCGCGGCTCCGCTCTCCCAGGCAGCGCGTACACGGAAACCTTGGCAACGGCGGGTGGCTGAGAGCAGGGTGTAGAGCAGACAGGTAAAGTCCATTCATTTGTATGGGAGAATAATGGCTGGACAGCCGAGGGGTTTTTTTTAACCCAAAATGTATTTTATTTCTTGACTGACACAATAAAAGAGTTATTTTACTTTTAGGTAAGTTTTTGCATCGCTGTGTACATGGCTTTAGTCAAAAAAGTCCTTTTGGATTTATGGTTCTTTATGATTCTCTACGACTTAAATATACAGCCAGGATATTAAACCACATGTCCAATCAGCAAACTCACATGACAGCAACTCGGTGCATTTAGGCATGTAGACATAGTCAGGGCGACCTGCTGAAGTTGAAAACTGAACATCGGTTTCCCAGCAGCCACTTTTTAAGTGGTATGGTTGTTGGTGCCACATGGGCTGGTCTGGGTATTTCAGAAACTCCTGATCGTCTGTGGTTGGGTGGGATTTTCCCCGAAGATCCATCTCTGGTGTTTACAGATAGTGTAAAAACATGTACTCTGCGCAACAATGTCTCTCACAATGTCTCCTCTCACAATGAAGTGAGAGGACACTGCTTTAAAATGAGAGGGTTGTAACTAAATTAGTTGCTGTAACGGTGTAGGATTAGATATTTTCTTAGTACAGGTAGTCACGCTCAAATCATATCAAACTGTTTTTTGATTTGTTTTTTTTTAACATGAAAATGTATTCAGTATACTACATTGGTCTCCAGAGTCAGCAGATCTCAATCCAGTAGAGCAGCTTTGGGATGTGATGGAAGAGATGTGCATCATGGATGCACAGCCAACAAATCTGCAGCAACTGAGTGATGCTATCATATCGATATGGACCAAAATCTCTGAGCAGTGTTTCCAGCACCTTGTTGAATCTATGTCAAGAAGACTTGACATAGATTTCTAGACATAGAAGGCAAAATGGAGTCCAACCCAGTACTAGCAAGGTGTACCTAACAAAGTGTTTGGTGAGTGTATATTTTCTGTTTTGCACCCTTACACTCTTCACATTCTTTATATGTTTTTTTTCCTTCTATGTCTCGTCTGTGGGATCTGGTTGCTACATCATAGTACAGATGTCAGTGGTGAATGCAGGCGCCCATCTCACACATTTGTTCCCACCAATAATAACATAACTTCCAGGCATGTTGAATTGATTTTAAAAATTTTTCTTCTATATAAAAAAAGACATTTCTATCAGAAACGGGGGCAGAAGAGGTCTAAAATTCACCAGAAGGAAAATAAGTGTCAGTAATTCCTTGGTGAAGACCTCGAGACCTTCTGCTTAATCCACACTCACCCCCCAGTGCTCAAACAAAACCTGTGCCCATGGCTGTCGTTGTAGCTTTTCTACATACAAAGGCACATTAAGCATAAGGGGGGGGGGGAGAAGATAAACCTGCCACTAGCGCCCCAGGACAAAATTGATCTGCTGGACCTCCAAAAGCCTTTTTTCACTTTAGACATTTTTAATCAAAACTCAAATCCTCTCTCCTCTTCATGTTCAAATAGTGCCCCCGAGTCACATCGGCTAATAGCAGGAACCACTTTGAGGCTCTTATAGTGTTAGATGGTATTGTGCTTTTGTGGTACATATTCCAAAACAAATGATCAATTAAATTAGCTCAAACCAGATGATGCACAGACAGTCTGGAGTTTTCTGAGGAACATCCATTGTCATAGGAAAGTTCCCTTCTTCATGTGCTTGGGGGGCACAGACTGATGGACATACAGAGAAAAATATCCACAGTCTACTACCGCACCCACAGTTTCAACTCTACCATTCGGTTCTTGGCCTCCACCTTTTGTCACTGTGCAGCGAAACTGCAGCATCAGCTTTTCACAGAATACAAAAACATGTTATCCAACACCACTTTGCCAGGCCTGTTGTTGCTTTGTGTTGCATTGTTTTTCTGCACACATGATAGGCCACTGTTTTTGAGCATGTGGTGGTGGTAATGGGTGGTGGACATGTCTGCCAACTGCCAGGTCAACCACTTGGAGAGGAACTCTTAAAGGACAAGGAAGCAGTGAAACACTGAATCCTGGTCAGAAGTCACACACTGAGCTCTTTGTATTCTGTTTACCTGGGGCAGAGTAACACAGTTTTCTGGTAAAGTGACGTACAAAGGAACTGCTTGTTTCTTCCCAAGTAAGGGGGCAGTGGTCTAAAAGAAGATGGGAAAATAACAATATTAAAATAAGCTGCGCTTTATTTGCCCTTTTCATGAACTTGATATTGATATGAGAAGTAGTACATGAGCTGTGTTTTAAAATGCACAATCTAGAAAAAGTCCTCCCCCAATCTCTGAAATATAGTTTAAAAATTCCAACTTTTCTTTCTGAAACAGTCAAAATATATATATTTTTTAAGGAAACAAAAGAGACTGTCTTCCCCAGAAAACAACCAGGTACTGTCTGTCATTTTGGCAAGCTGTTATTATGACCTATGCTTACATTATAATGTTAGCCATCTTCTAGGGGGTCTGTGAGTAATACAGGTAATCAACAACTTTGACAGTGTATTTTTGTGCCTAAACCTAACCAAATTACAAGGAAAATCAAAGTAAGCACGCTGAGAGTCGATGCTTTCATTGGAAACAATCACGTTTCAAAGACTCTTTAATTAGTCTTTTTAGACAGAGAAGAGCAAACAACCAGCATAATGATTTAAGTGAAGGACTTGCTGGAAAATGCGGATCTCACCTGCCCTCTTTCAATCCATGATCTTTTTCCAGCATATCTATGTGTAGGATCCATCAGAGTGAAAATGATAAGATTAGAGCCTGACATCTGCTTAAATGTGCTAGCTTACCCGTGAGATCTGAAAGTGAAGTAGTGCCTGAAAGTGGAGCCTTTCACGTCTCAGTTTTCAAGCAGTCATCTTTTGATCTGTTTAGAGAGCCTATAGGCCTGTGTCATGCCATTCATAACTTACAGAAAATGAAAGTACTATTCCCTGTATATCACACAGCACTTGTTTCAGTGAGGTTTACCTTCAGCTATTTTATTTTTTCATATAATCTCAAGTTACAGGGTTGATAAAGAACTTGACAGTATCCCCGCTGTTCTAGTTCCAGTACTGACAGTATTGATATAGCTGAAAGTCCAGCACTGTGGGTCATGTAATTCTTCTTTTGGCAGGGGCAGACATTTCTCAACTGCCATTCACAGTTGCCAGGGTGAACAATGCTCCACTGAGCTATAACTTATGGTCCTCACTCAAAGAGCCTAATACCATTAGCCAAAGTGGGAGTCAGATGAGAGCTGGAACTTGGAGAGGTAGCATTTGTGCAGGACGTGCATATGTGTTTTGTGCAAATGTTTCTTAGGAGCATCTACTGAGTTACAGAAAATGAAAATGAATGGGGAAGCAAGCCAAACAGATCTGCAGCCATTAAGTCATTCGTCAGGCAGTGACATCTCTGGGATCCCAAGCCTCTGGTCACATGCAATCCAAGCACACAACTGACTCAGCAGAAACTTCTGCTGAAACATCTTCCTGTAAAGACAACCCTACTTTATATGCTTATTTTGAAGATTAAAGGTCTCCAGCTGAATAACGTAATGCAAGCAGGTATCAGAAAATTCAGTTCAACTAACAAAACATTAATTAATGTAAAGAAGACCTGGTAAAAGTACAATAAAGAATCTTCATAAAGACACGCGGCGTTGTGTCTGGTTAACATTGCGCAACATATTCTTACATAATTGCTCCATGCTCAGCGAGGCGAGGGTTCTCTGCTCAGTGACACAGGCCAGACTTGAGGCATCAGAATGTAATTAATGGTTGCACATTATCAAGCAGCTGTTTGAGGGCTTTGTTCTGGTGCCAGCTCGGCAGTAGCCTCGTGCCTGTCTGTGCTAGGTAAGAGGACCCTCCTCTTTAGACTGGAACCGCTCGGCATCTGTGCAAACCTCTCATTTGTTGGAGTCACAAGGCTGTGTAGATAGAGCTATCTTTAAGCCTGAACACAGCACTTCAACATGGTCACTATCTTTTTTGTTGTTGTTTTGCCTACTGAAGCTTGAAGGGAGTAATATAATAGTAATAATACCCACAAGTAGAGTGTAAAATCAACACATGCCACAATAACTTCCTGCTGCACTGCACTCTTTTACCAAATCACCGATGGAAATGATTCCCAGATGATGTAAATACGCTGTCATACACTTTCAGCACAGCACTTTTTTTTCGCATTAGCTTGCTCAGCACACAAACCAAAAAGCCATCAGGGTCAGTCAAGTCAGCAGACCAGGTTAATTGGCAACTCTGGAAAAATGGTTTAATGCTTAATTCAGCTGTAGTCGCGCAAATGCACAAGTACCAATATGGATGATTGGAAGGAGTCGCTAGGCTTTGAGAGCTTGTGGAAAAATGACTCTGCTGGACGGTTTTAGTTCTCACAACTCCACTCTGAATCATTAAACACACCTCCCTGAATCACTCTTAGTCACAGCCTGACAAAAACCCAACCCACAAATGACTCTCTGTTCACCAGAGTGACGACTTCACTGGATCTATCGGATTTTTGGGTGCAGTCCAAATATTTTTTTTCTCTCCTACTTCCACTAGTGATATGTGTCATTAAGAATGAATGAGTGGATATGCTATTTTGTAATTAAAGGATGCTGCAAGTGGCCTGACTCGGTTGTAAGTAAACGACTGTGAAGAGGGAGGGTGTTATCTGTGTTTTTTCCCAGATGTACTGTTTTTATTTTTGCTATGTAAAGTGAAACAGAAATGTTTTACTATTTTGCTTTAGGAACCCCAAGCAGCGAGACTAACGGTGGAACCAGGCACACTTCATTCATCTGTGAAAGATGGTCCAGAACTCAACCTCTCAACACTCATGTGTCTTTCAATATCTAATTCAACAAAGTCATCATACTCTTACCTACATGTCGCTCTTACCCCTTACTGGTTTAGACAAGGACCTCTGTGTTTAGATAATGAAATTAGCCGGCCTCCCTGAGGCTCTCCCTGCTTCATAAACTGCTTTATTAATTGCTATCTGCATTTGGTAAGTGCTACAAAAGGCTACTGTAAGTATATCCGCTCGTAACCGGAGCGGATTCTATATTGATTGCAGATGGTGTCATT